CAATCAAAGAGTTAAGTATTTTGTCCCGTCTCCAACACTCCCTCTCCCAACAAGAGTCTTCAATAAAGGTATGTACAGTGGACCCCCGCATAACGATGGCATCGCATAGCGATTTTTCCGCATAACGATTACTTTTATCGCAAAATTTTTGCCGCGCATACCGATTAAAAACCCGCATACCGATTTTCGTCCGAGACGCGTCCAATGTGCCCTCAGCCAGCCTCACATGTGCCACTCCGTCCCATTGTTTACCAGCCAGCCTCCGCGGTAACATCCAAGCATACACTCGGAATATTTCGTATTATTACAGTATTTTCGGTGCTGTTTCTGGAAAATAAGTGACCATGGGCCCCAAGAAAGCTTCTAGTGCCAACCCTACACCTCAAAGGGTAAGAATTACTATAGAGATGAAGAAAGAGATAATTGATAAGTATGAAAGTGGAGTGCGTATAGCCGACCTAGTCAAGCTGTACAAGAAACCCAATCAACCATCGTTTACTATTGTGGGCACCAGAAAGACAATCAAGGAAGCTGTTCTTGCCAAAGGTTCAACTGATGTTTTCGAAACAAAGATCGCAATTGATGGAAGATGTTGAGAGACTCTTATTGGTGTGGATAAATGAAAAAACAGATAGCAGGAGATAGCGTCTCTCAAGCGATCATATGTGAAAAGGCTAGGAAGTTGCATGAGGATTTAATTAAAAAAATGCCTGCAACTAGTGATGATGTGAGTGAATTTAAGGCCAGCAAAGGTTGGTTTGAGAGATTTAAGAAGCGTAGTGGCATCCATAGTGTGATAAGGCATGGTGAGGCTGCCAGTTCGGACACAAAGCAGCTGAAAAATATGTGCAGGAATTCAAGGAGTAACATAGAAACTGAAGGACTGAAACCTGAACAAGTGTTTAATTGTGATGAAACAGGCCTGTTCTGGAAGAAAATGCCAAGCAGGACCTACATTACTCAGGAGGAAAAGGCACTCCCAGGACATAAGCCTATGAAAGACAGGCTTACTTTGTTGATGTGTGCCAATGCTACTGGTGATTGCAAAGTGAAGCCTTATTAGTGTATCACTCTGAAACTCCCAGAGCGTTCAGGCAAAAGAATGTCCTCAAGGATAATTTGTGTGTGCTGTGGAGGGCAAACAGTAAGGCATGGGTCACTAGGGAATTTTTCTTAACTGGTTACACCATGCATTTGCCCCAATGTGGAAAAATTACCTAACTGAAAAGAAATTAGAACTTAAGTGCCTCCTGGTGTTAGACAATGCCCCTGGTCATCCTACAGACGTGGCAGAGCGACTTTATGGGGACATGAGCTTCATTAAGGTGAAGTTTTTGCCTCCTAATACCACTCCTCTCCTGCAGCCCATGGACCAGCAGGTTATTTCCAACTTCAAGAAACTGTACACAAAAGCTCTATTTGAAAGGTGCTTTGTAATGACCTCAGAAACTCAACTGACTCTAAAGAGAGTTTTGGAGAGATCACTTTAATATCCTCAATTGTGTAAACCTTTTAGGTAAGGCTTGGGGGAAGTGACAAAGAGGACTTGAACTCTGCTTGGAAGAAAACTGTGGCCAGAATGTGTAGACAAAAGGGATTTTGAAGGTTTGAGGCTAACCCTGAGAATCCTGTGCCAGTTGAGGATCCATTGTGGCATTGGGAAAGTCCTTGGGGTTGGAGGTTAGTGGGGAGGATGTGAAAGAGTTGGTGGAGGAGGACAATGAAGAACTAACCACTGATGAGCTGCTAGATCAACTTCAACAGCAAGAGGCCACACCTGAGGAAATTGCTTCGGAGGGAGGGGAGAGAGAAATTGAAAGAAGTTGCCTACTTCAAAGATTAAGGAAATCTGTGCAAAGTGGCTTGAAGTGCAAACCTTCATGGATGAAAATCACCCTCACACAGCTATTGCAAGCCGTGCTGGTGATTATTACACTGACATGTTGTGAAACACTTTAGGCAAGTCATAAAGGAACGAGAGGTACAGGCCACTATGGACAGATATCTTGTGCGAAAGAAGTCCAGTGACTCTGAAGCTGGCCCTAGTGGCATTAAAAGAAGGGAAGTAACCCAGAAAAGGACTTACTACCTCAAGTCCTAATGGAAGGGGATTCCCCTTCTAAACACTAACACACTCTCTCCCCTCCTCCCATCCCATCAATCATCACCAGATCTTCAATAAAAGTAAGTGTCATTTAATTGTGCATGCCTTTTTCAGTTTGTGTGTATTAAAATTAACATTTCATGTGGTAAAAAAAATTTTTTTTCATACTTTTGGGCGTCTTGCACGGATTAATTTTATTTCCATTATTTCTTATGGGGAAAATTCATTCGCATAACGATTATTTCGCATAACGATGAGCCCTCTTGCACGGATTAAAATCGTTAACCGGGGGTCCACTGTAATAGTAATTTAAATGTTCATTTATCTATTTCATTAGTGCTTATATATTTATTTCTCATTGTTTTCTGTATGTAAATCTATATTTAATCTCCAAAAAATGTATTTTTTGTTAATACTTTTGGGTATCTGAAACAGATTAATTGGATTTACATTATTTCTTAAGGGGAAAATGGTTTCACTGTTCATAAATTTCGTATTTCATCAGACTTTCTGGAGTGGATTAATTACGAAATTCGAGGGTACACTGTATATCTTTTAGGAGTGAAGAAGAGCCGAATGTGAGTGTGCGGGAGGTGCGGGAGGCATTTGGTAGAATGAAAGGGGGATAGAGCAGCTGGAACTGATGGGATCATGACAGAAATGTTAAAAGCAGGGGAAGATATAGTGTTGGAGTGGTTGGTACTTTTGTTCAGTAAATGTATGAAAGAGGGGAAGGTACCTAGGGATTGACAGAGAGCATGTATAGTTCCTTTATATAAAGGGAAGGGGGACAAAAAAGAGTGTAAAAATTATAGGGGAATAAATTGACTGAGTATATCACGTAAAGCGTATTGTAGGGTTATTATTGAAAGAATTAGAGGTAAGACAGAGAGCAGGATCAAAAATGAACAAGGATTCTTTAAAACAGGTGGGGGATATGTAGACCAAGTGAAGCATATAAGCGAACAATATTTAGATAATGATAGGAAAGTTTTTGTTGCATTTGTGGATTTAGAAAAGGCATATGATAGGGTGGATAGGGGAGCAATGTGGCAGATGTTACAAGTATATAGAATATTTAGCAAGTTACTAAATGCTATACAGAACTTTTATGAAGATAATGAGGCTCAGGTTGGAGTGTGTAGGAGAGAGTGAGATTACTTTCCAGTAAAAGTAGGCCTTAGACAGGGATGTGTAATGTCACCATGGTTGTTTAACATATTTATAGATGGAGTTATAAAAAGAAGTAAATGCTAGGGTGTTGGGAAGAGGGGGGGGGATTAAATTATGCAGAATCATACAGAATGGGAGTTGACACAGTTACTTTTTGCTGATGATACTGTGCTTTTGGGAGATTCTAAAGAGAAGTTGCAAAGGTTAGTGGATGAGTTTGGGAGGGTGTGTAAAGGAAGAAAGTTGAAAATGAACGTAGATAAAAGTAAGGTGATGAGAGTATCAAACAAGTTAGGTAAATAAAAATTAGATATCACATTGGAGGGAGGGAGTATGGAAGAAGTGAATGTGTTCAGATATTTGGGAGTAGACTAGTCAGCAGATGGTTTTATGAAGGATGAGGTAAATGATAGAATTGTTGAAGGAAAAAGGGTGAGTGGTGCACTGAGGTATCTGTGGAGACAGAGAATGTCATCGATGGAGGCGAAGAAGGGAATGTGCGAGAGTATAACGGTACCAACACTTTTATATGGGTGTGAAGCATGAGTTGTAAATGCTATGGCAAGGAGGAGGCTGGAGGCAGTGGAGATGTTATGTCTAAGGGCAGTGTGTGGTATAAATATTATGCAGAGAATTCGTAGTGTGGAAATTAGGAGGTGTGGAGTGACTAAAAGTATTATTCAGAGGGCTGAGGAGGGGTTGTTGAGGTGGTTTGGTCATTTAGAGAGGATGGAGCAAAATAGGATGACTTGGAGCGTGTATAAATCTGTAGTGGAGGGGAGAAGGGGTAGGGGTTGTCCTAGGAAAGAATGGAGAGAAGGGGTAAAAGCGGTTTTGTGTGCAAGGGGCTTGGACATACATCAGGCATGTGTCAGTGTATTAGGACTGAATGGAGACGAATGGGTTTTGAGACTTGACGAGCTGTTGGAGTGTGAGCAAAGTAATATTTTGTGAAGAGATTCCGAGAAACTGATAAGGCGGACTTGAGTCCCGGAGGTGGTAAGTACAATACCTGCACTTTAATGAGGGGTTTGGGATATTTGCTGTTTGGAGTGGCATCTGAACTGTCATATCTGAGTGCCTCTGCAAAGACAGTGATTATATGTGAATTATGGTGAAAATATTGAATGATCTTGAAAGTGTTTTTGTTTTTTTGGGTCACCCTGCATCTGTGGGAGATTGCCAACATGTTGAAAAAATGTAGCTGTGTATTGTAGGTTGGTAATGCTAGCTTGGAAGAAAAATCTAAAAAATTTTGTAAAATATTCTGACACCAGGATAAACAGCAAAAGGTTGAACATGATGTGGAATTTAAAAGTAATAAAAATTATTTGAGTGAAGAATGATGTGTTTTGGTAGTGAAATATAATACTGTTGATTACAGTGTATAATGCAGGTTATATTTATTCTGTAGTCTCATCACAGTTTGAAGGTATACTGTGTTTGGGAATTTATTGAAGAAAATGTTTATGCAAGACTGTCTCATTTAAATATTTTAGTTTAATTACTTTATACTGTCTTTCCTCTAATATGAGGAATGTGTTTATCTGAGTATTACATACTACACCATTTATATAATCATAATACTGTCTGTAATATAACTGAAATAATTTTGTTATTCTTATCAGTATTTAATTTACTTTTGTATAAGCTTCCATTATTTATCTCAGGAATATAATGAGTGCTTTGTAATGCATAACCATTAATGCAGTTGGCTTGACAGGTTCAGAAAACAAGATCAGCCAGACACAAGTAGTGGTCCAACAGTAGAGTCCCTCACCAAGCGGCAGGAGCTAATTTTAGATAGGTTGTTAGCTCTGCAAGCCAAGGTTGCCAACATTGCTGCTAACATGGGTGTCAAGCTGGAAGACTCTGACACTGCTGTCACCACTCAGTTGACTGGTTAGTACCAAGTGTAAGGACTGTAGTGTTTGTATCACTTGCAGTGTATAATGATTATCTGATCCAGTGTACTTTTAGATCAAGAGCACTTACTAGCTGAACTAGTGGCCGATGACTCGGCAAAAATTGAATTAGTTAACAAATAATTGCTTTATGAATAGAAGATTCATCAGATGTTGAAAAATGTTATTTAGAGAAATAGATATAGAGGATGCAAACTGGAATTCAAGGAATAAGTGTGTGTTGTCTGGGATTATGGGACATGAATACTGAAGGTAGGAAGTACAGTGCCTGCACTCTGAAGGATGATGAGGATATAAGTTTGCAGGATCTTTTGACCCTGTTAAATCATTCATTCAAGCTGTTGAATGAATGATGGTGAATGTGTGTTATTACTTTAGTGGGAAAGAGCCAGTGTGGTAAAAAGAAATGTATAAGGTAGTTTCCCTGGAGAGGGTTTTGGAGGTCAACGCCCCTGCGGCTCGATCTGAGACCAGGCCTCATGGCTTGGTTTTAAAACTAATATGATTAGAAGATTCTTGCTAACAACAACTTACTAACCAAACCTTTTGACCTTTTTTTTTTTTTTTACCTTCTATTATTGATGTCAAGTTTATAATAGTGATTCATCATTTTTCCACATCAGCTTTTTCCCACTAAGGATTGATCCAAAGAAGGAAGGATATTCACCCTAACTCATTCAACAGCTATCTTCCCATAAGTGTGCAGACATCACACTTCCAATGATAATCTAAACTGCACCATCTCCACCCTTCTTCAAAAGTGCAGGTTCTCTTCTTTTCACCTCCAGAATGGAACCTCAGCTAATAGGTGTCCCTGAGTTCCTTCATATTCCTTATTAGGATTCATATTATTCCTTGATGATTGCATTTCAATACAAAAATGTTCATCAGTCTTTAACCCTTAAACTGCCCAAACGTAGATCTACGTTTTTTCAACATTTGAAAGTATGTAAAAAAAAAAAAGATCTTTTGTTATTTTACATTTGAAAACAGTGTAAAAAAACTTTGATCTACTTTTTTTTTTTTGTTATATTTGAAAATATGTAAAAAAATGTAGATCTACTTTTGGAGCACTACGCATGTGAACATAGATCTGTTTGGACAGTTTAAGGGTTAACATGAGACTAGTTTGACCAAATTGTGTGGTTGGTTTCCAAGATATTGTTACAAACATGTTGCAAATGCTTGTAGTCGATCTCAAAAAGACATTTAGCATATTGTTGGTTTTCTGTATTGCAAAGGTTTGTAAGTAACATTTGGTAAGTTTGTCATTTTTCTTCTCAGTGTCACATGTAAAACATTAGGGACATATTTTTAAATCTGAAAGTTAATCTTCAAAAATAGTTCTCTGTAATGCTTAAGTAATGTACAACCTATCTCTCTTCTCGCAGCCAAGATTGGGTGACCAGTACATGTTCAGGGCCTTCTCCCCATCCTCTGGTCATATCAGAGCTAATATTATTTTCCTTAAAAAAAAAAAAACCACGGTACGGGTGGGGACTGAACTCGTGTCATTATAATTTCTTGAGTCATTATTTTCCTTAGTTGTTTCACAGATTCTCATTTCTCTTTTCTTCTTCCAACTTTCAATATCACCAGCAATCTTCTTGAGTGTTATGATTAATGTACAATGACAGGAGACAAGTGAATGCTTTGAACATTGCATTTATGTCTGGGGGGCTTTTTGGTCATTCCTTTACAGAAGTCTAGAGAAAGGTCCACCTTACAGCGTTAATGTGTTCCGTAAAAGTGTTCATTGCTTGGGTGTTCAGAATTCAGAATCTGTTTTCTCATATCACCCATGTTATAATCAGATGTGCTACTGAGCTTTTACAGCCATTTGTTCCCTATCTCATTTCATATATTTTTAATAATTAAAAACATAATAAGAGACAGTTTTAGCATGATACAAGTCTGTTTTTTCCCTCTGATTTCTTCAGTGTCTGAACCTCCTTTTACAGTACACTTATGTTATCAAAACTCTTCTAACCATCCATGAAACCTATATATACAGGATTTTTTCACGTTTGTGGGAAGTAATTGATCCACGAGTTTCATCATGCCTGTTTTCCGTTTTTAGAGAAAAAGATTTTTCACCTAAAAGAAAAGTCACTGGGTTGTAAAAAATGCTTAACCCTTTCAGGGTCGAGACCCCTGATCTCAAACTTGCTCTCATGGTAGAAGAATTTTAAAAAATTAGTTAGAGTAAGAGGTAGATGGGAAAAGAGGAAGGTGGCAACAACAAGTAAGAGGGAGGTGAAAGTGTGTAAACTAAGGGAGGAGGAAGTTTGGGGGAGATATAAGCGACTGTTGGCAGAAAGGTGGGCTAGTGCAAAGATGAGTAGTGGGGGGGTTGAAGAGGGTTGGAATAGTTTTAAAAATGCAGTATTAGAATGTGGGGCAGAAGTTTGTGGTTATAGGAGGGTGGGGGCAGGAGGAAAGAGGAGTGATTGGTGGAATGATGAAGTAAAGGGTGTGATAAAAGAGAAAAAGTTAGCTTATGAGAGGTTTTTACAAAGCAGAAGTGTTATAAGAAAAGCAGAGTATATGGACAGTAAAAGAAAGGTGAAGAGAGTGGTGAGAGAGTGCAAAAGGAGAGCAGATGATAGAGTGGGAGAGGCACTGTCAAGAAATTTTAATGAAAATAAGAAAAAATTTGGAAGTGAGTTAAACAAGTTAAGAAAGCCCAGGGAAAGTATGGATTTGTCAGTTAAAAACAGAGTAGGGGAGTTAGTAGATGGGGAGAGGGAGGTATTAGGTAGATGGCGAGAATATTTTGAGGAACTTTTAAATGTTGAGGAAGAAAGGAGGTGGTAATTTCATGCACTGGTCAGGGAGGTATACCATCTTTTAGGAGTGAAGAAGAGCAGAATGTAAGTGTGGCGGAGGTACGTGAGGCATTACGTAGAATGAAAGGGGGTAAAGCAGCTGGAACTGATGGATTATGACAGAAATGTTAAAAGCAGGGGGATATAGTGTTGGAGTGGTTGGTACTTTTGTTAATTAAATGTATGAAAGAGGGGAAGGTACCTAGGGATTGGCGGAGAGCATGTATAGTCCCTTTATATAAAGGGAAAGGGGACAAAAGAGATTGTAAAAATTATAGAGGAAAAATTTTATTGAGTATACCAGGAAAAGTGTATGGTGGGGTTATATTGAAAGAATTAGAGGTAAGACAGAATGTAGGATTGGGGAAAATTGAGCAAGGAGGTTTCAGAGTGGGTAGAGGATGTGTAGATCAAGTGTTTACATTGAAGCATATATGTGAACAGTATTTAGATAAAGGTGGGGAAGTTTTTATTGCATTTATGGATTTAGAAAACGCATTATGATAGAGTGGATAGGGGAGCAATGTGGCAGATGTTGCAAGTACACGAAATATGGAATAGGTGTGGTAAGTTATAAATGCTGTAAAGAGTTTTTATGAGGATAGTGAGGCTAGGTTAGGGTGTGTAGAAGAGGGGGGAGACTACTTCCACAGTAAAAGTAGGTCTTAGACAGGGATGTGTAATGTCCCATGGTTGTTTAATATTTTTTATAGGTGGGGTTTTTAAAAGAAGTAAATGCTAGGGTGTTCGGGAGAGGGGTCGGATTAAATTATGGGGAATCAAATTAAAAATGGGAATTAACACAGTTACTTTTTGCTGATGATACTGTGCTTATGGAGATTCTAAAGAAAATTGCAAAGGTTAGTGGATGAGTTTGGGAATGGTGTAAAAGGTAGAAAGTTGAAAGTGAACATAGAAAAGAGTAAGGTGATGAGGGTATCAAATGATTTAGTAAAAAAAATTTGGGATATCAAATTGGGGAGGAGGAGTATGGAAGAAGTAAATGTTTTCAGATACTTGGGAGTTGACGTGTCGGCGGAGGATTTATGAAGGATGAGGTTAATCATAGAATTGATGAGGGAAAAAGGTGAGTGGTGCATTGAGGTATATGTGGAGTCAAAAAACGTTATATATGGAAGCAAGAGGGAATGTAGAAAGTATAGTAGTACCAACACTCTTATATGGGTGTGAAGCTTGGGTGGTAAATGCAGCAGCGAGGAGACGGTTGGAGGCAGTGGAGATGTCCCGTTTAAGGGCAATGTGTGGTGTAAATATTATGCAGAAAAAATTTGGAGAGTGTGGAAATAGGAAAAGGTGTGGAGTTAATTAAAAAATATTGTCAAGGGCAGAAGAGGGGTTGTTGAGGGGGTTTGGTATTTAGAGAGAATGGATCAAAGTAGAATGACATGGAAAGCATATAAATCTATAGGGGAAGGAAGGCGAGGTAGGGGGTCGTCCTCGAAAGGGTTGGAGAGAGGGGGGTACAGGAGGTTTTGTGGGCAAGGGGCTTGGACTTCCAGCAAGCGTGCGTGAGCTTGTTAGATAGGAGTGAATGGGAGAATGGTACTTGGGACCTGACGATCTGTTGGAGTGTGGGGCAGGGTAATATTTAGTGAAGGGATTCAGGGAAACTGGTTATTTTCATATAGTTGGACTTGAGTCCTGGAAATGGGAAGTACAATGCCTGCACTTTAAAGGAGGGGTTTGGGATATTGGCAGTTTGGAGGGATATGTTGTGTATCTTTATACGTATATGCTTCTAGACTGTTGTATTCTGAGCACCTCTGCAAAAACAGTGATTATGTGTGAGTGTGGTGAAAGTGTTGAATGATGATGAAAGCATTTTCTTTTTGGGGATTTTCTTTCTTTTTTGGGTCACCCTGCCTCGGTGGGAGACGGTCAACTTGTTGAAAAAAAAAAAAAAATTATTTTATCTTTTGAAATAATAGAGAATCTTTTTCCGAGGTAATGAAACCAAAAGTATGAAGTGTGATGGAAAACTTAGGGAATTACACTCTTGTAAAGTTGGCAGACCAAGTGATATTTATGCATTGGTGATTGTATCCACTTTGCTCCCTATTTTTTGGCCACTTCCATTGTCCCAGTCAACCAAACTCATAGCTATTTTGCTAGTATTCCTTCTATTCTATCAATTGAATGCAAGAAACTGCCCATTTATCTATTTCAACTACCCAATAATGTGATCAGAAATTAGTAATTTGGCCAATTTCCCACACTACAAAAATTTCCAATTTAAAAATAGGGTCCAGAATAAATAATGTAGACATTCCTGGTACTAAAAAAAAAAATTTCCTCTGTTCTTTAGTCACATCTCCAAGCCCCTCTTATATTACGCATGCTTTCCATTTTGAATTTTTGTTTACATAAAAAATAGAAGATTTGCTGTTATGCAGACTACAGCATAATTGTATAAATAATGTCAGTACATTCCTAAATGTGTATTAGACTGGCCCATTGGACGTGTACTGGACAAGTGATGTCACTTGTGTATTCTAGAATATCGGCAAAAATTTAACATTTCTGCTACTTTGAGCTCAATTTCAAGCTACTTTCAGTCCTGAAACCAATCAAAATTATCTCTATTTCTGTAATGTATTTTCCATTCTATCAGAGACCAAGAAACCAAGAATACATCCATAAAATGCGTATGAAAATACACCCTAAAAACACAGTCGCAGTGTTTTTCTCATTATGCATTGCGTGCTGGAGGACTTTTTTTTATATGGTGCATACTTACCACATAGACCCATTCTCTCACATCTAGGCCCAGATTTACAGCTCACAGCTTATCTGAGTGAGCTGAACACGTGGCATAGTATTATGGGACCAACACTGGCTTCAAAACCGTAGAACAACAGGACGCACACTGAAAGGGTTAAAATCACTCCTTTTGAATTATTTTTCGTGCTACTTAAGAATATGCACTTTACTGAAAAAATTGCTATACAGTACTTAGAAAAGTCTCTTTCTTTGCCTTCCTCCCTTTTTGATGCCCCCCCTCTCTCATTTTCTTACCTCTCTCATGTAAAATAAATTTTTTTTCTTCATACAGGTGGACCCCAACTGGGAATAATTCATGATGTGGTTATTTATGCTGATCCACGGCGTCCACCATACAGTCTCCGAGCATTGGCTAATGCACTCTCCACAACTTACTCCATCTGTTTACGAGTTCACTGTCACTCCACTGTCAAGGTAAAATACATATCATGTGCTTTGAATGGTTACACATTTAGAACAACTATACATAACAAGGTTTCACATATTTGTTTTGCAGATTTTATTAATTTATTTTTTACAGTCTCTTAGCTTCCAGCTGTGCACCTGAGCACTTGTTTCCTGCCTCTCAAGCAGTCCTATCTGACAAGAGACAGGCTGAGTATTTTGTGTGTTGTCTTGTTTTCTCTAGTTTCTTAACATGCTTCCTCAGGTATGGGTTCCTTACTGCTGCTGCATACTCCAAGATGGGCCTCTTTTTTCGTGAGAGAGATATATAGATAGATAAAATATAGATATTGATTGACTGACTGATTTTTTTAACCCTTTCACTGTTGAGACCTCTAACCCTGAAGTCACTCTCTGTGTCGAAAAATATTCGAAAAAAAAATTTATTTTATCTTACCATTCATTCATTAATGATTTGCCGGTACTTCTGGCCTGGGTCTTCCCCAGATGGTGACCCAGCGGTGGCCCCCGGTTGGGGGTTTTATCTTACCAAAATCTTAAGAATATTTTGGTGAGTGTTTTAAAAGAAAAAAAAAAATTGCGATCAGTACTTACTGAGATATAGAGGCATGAAGCTGACAGAAAGTGAACTGCTTACAGCAACATCGGCAACTACTGCTCACTCGGTAATATTTTTACTGTGGAACCTCAGTTTTCATTTTTAATTCGTTCCAGAAAGTCTGATGACAACTGAATTTGACGAAAACTGAAGCAATATTTCCCATAAGAAATAATGTAAATCCAATTAATCTGTTCCAGACACCCAAAAGTATTAACAAAAAATAAATTTTATAGAGAATAACTATAGTTTTACATACAGAAAACAATAAGAAATAAATATAAACGAATAATGAAATGGATAAATGAACATTTTTCTATTTCATTATTCACTTTTACCTTTATTGAAGACTTTTGTTGGCATATGGAAGAGAGCAAGGAGGGGAGAGGGAGGAGAGGTTAACTCTATCACCATCACTACCACCCTCTACCACAATCACTACCACCCTCTACCAACATCACTACCACCCTCTACTAGTGATGTTTCGGATATCCACATTGCAGAACATCCATAATTTCTTACATCCGCATCCACATCCGCATTTTACTGTAAACAGATACCCGGATCCAAATCCGCAGAATATCCGCACAATTTCTTACGTCTGCATCCGCATCTGCATCTGCAAAATAAGTAAGACATCCTCATACACATCCACATCTGAGGATATCTAAATTTTCACATCCAATACATCTCTTCCCTCTACTACCATCTACCGACGAGAAACTAAGCCAGACTGGCTCAGAACGCATGGGATGCTTTGTGTGGGTGTGAGCAGACATGTTCAGTATGGCGGACCACTGTCAACTCGACAATAACCGAGGTGATGACTGAAAGCTGGGACAAAATTTTGACGAAAAAAGTTGTTGAAAACCAAATTCGACGAAAACCAGGGCAAACGAAAACAGAGGTTCCACTGTACTTTTATTCTACTTTTTTCTTTTATTTTTTAATATTTTATTTTTCAGAGTAACTTTTGTGGCCTGTGAGACCAATATAATGTGTAATGCATATATATCCAATCGTGTGCAACACAATAACCGCACAAACATTGTTATCATTATATTGGTTACAAAGCTTGTTTACACGAACCAACGATAAAAGAAGTTTATTACTACATATATATACATATATAGAGTCACTGGACACATTCTTAGGTTGTTTGTGTGTAGATAGTTGAAGGTAGCCTTTGTTGTGCTGAGAGCACCGTGGCTGGTGTCAAATGACGCTTTACACAACCACCACCACCACCCATTACCCATACCATCTTCCCCAATAAGCATGCTGTCTTCCCCACCACCCATATGGAAATAAGTCACTCTGACTTTTTTGGGTTATCCTAAGTCGATGATCGTCTGGGTTTTCAGCACTATTTCTGGTATCCTGGGCATTGCTTTTGGTCACAAACTCAAAACCATGAAATTCATCTTCACTGACACTTCCATTTGTGTTAGAGCTGTCACTTGGGAAGAGAACAGTCCCAGTTTGCTAGGGAGTAAGGTATATATTACCACAAAGCATGGTAAACAAGGCCTACTGAAATGGGACTCCCACAATACACCACTGGCTCCCTGATTTTTTTTTATACTGCGTACACTGACCACGCAGACCCATTCTCTCATATGTAGGTGTACCAGCTGTCTCCCCCTAGATTTGAAGCCACTAGAATTTTGGCATATTAATACGTCACTAACACTGGCTCATAAGACGTATCTATATGGCACCGACAGTGAAAGGGTTAGCTCAGTGGCTGTATCCTGACAAGGCAGCATGACCCAAAGAAGAAAACACATTTGCCAACATTCACTCAATTTCCATCTTTCCAGAAGTGTGCTGATATCACGATTAGATTATCCTCTGCAACATCCCCACCTCTCCTTCAGAGTGCAGGCACTGCCCTTCTCACATTAGAACTCTTTTATAGCATATTCATTAAAAACTGCTCATCTCCATTCATTCCTATTTAGCATGCACAATCCTGCTGGATGCTCAAGCTCCTAAAACTCAGAGCCTCTCTTACTCCCCTCTGTCCTACTCATCCTGGTATGACCCCCACCCCTCTTACCCATCCTGGTATGACCCCCCAACCCTCCTACCTTCCACCCCAGGTTTATATATCCTCTTTGTTATCCTATTCCTCTCCATTCTCTCCATATGCCAAAACCACTTCACAACCCCTATGCAGCCCTGTGAATTATACCTTTGGTGACCCTAAATCACATTTTAATTTGTATACTCTGTTCTCTGCCTATTCCCATCACACATTGCTCCTAAACATGACATCTCACTGCTTCTAACCTCCTCCTTGACTCAGCATTCAAAACCCATACCCATATGTGTTGATACTACTATACTCTGGTGCATTACTCTTTTTTTTTTTTTCTCCATAGATACTAGTAAACTCCTTTCTTGCCACACGTCTCAACACGCCACCCACCTTTTACCTTTTTTTCCCTCAACTATTTTGTGTTTCACCTTGCCTTTCATTGGCCAATCTGCTGACATGTCCACTCCCTGATACTTAAATACATCTACTTCCTCCGGACTCCCTCACTCCAGTCTAATATTTAATTTATCATTGCTTAGGATTTTTGTTACCATCCTCACCTTGCTCTTTTTTATATTCACTTTTAATTTTCTTTGTTTATATATGCTTCAGAATTCATCTGCATCCTTTGCAACTTGTCTTCAGGATCTTCCAAAAGAACCGTGTCATTGACGAAGAGCAATTTTTTTTTTCCAATGAACTGGCCGTAACCCGTAATGTATACAGGAGAAGGGGTTACTAGCCACTTGCTCCCAGCATTTTAGTTGCCTCTTATGACATGCATGGCTTACAGAGGAAGAATTCTGTCCCACTTCCCCATGGAGACAACCCTATTTATAAGTACATATATGTTAAACCACCATGGTGAGAAAACACATCCCTGTCCAAGTCCCCCTCTTTTGTACATACCCTAATCTGAGCCTTGCTATCTGCATAAAAAGTTTACTGCTTTTAGTAGCTTACCAACTGTTCCATATACATATGCAATATTTTCTAGTAGCTTCCTATCCATCCTATCATATGTCAATTCTAAATTCACAAATTCAACAAATTCTTTACTCTTGTCTAAGTACTGCTCACTTATTTTCTTGAGTATAAACATTTGGTCTGCCCTTTCCTACCCCTCCTGAATCCTCCCTGCTGCTCGGCATTCCTACTCTCCATCATACCCCTAACTTTTTCAATAATTATTTTACCATACACATTACCTGGTATACTCAACAGGGTCCCTATAATTCGTACACTCTGTTGTCCCTCTTTTCCTAATACAAAGGAGAGAGCCAATGTGTTAAAACAGTTTAAATAAAGCCTCTCCTCACTTAGTGATGTACTCGTTTACTGACAACTCGGACTTACAACGATTTCTCTGACCAGTATCCATACCTAAATAATGTATATTAGAGCTGATTTTGTCTATTCTGTTTATTACAGTATACAGTACACTACTGTAAAAACATTTAAAAATATACTAAAAATGCTATAAATGGTGCAAAGGTGACATTAAAACAATATCAAATTGGTTGACGTAAACCCACAAGCATTACAGTATGCAAGTTTCCCTCAGCATTTGTGTTTTCCACTTTCACGGGCTTCGAATATTAGTGAATTCCCAGCCGCCCAATCGTATTTAAAATATGTCATTACATATGTTAGGAATTGTCGTGGTGGCAGAGTTTGGAGATAGGACAAGATAGTCCTTCAATATGACACTAATATCAACTCTACGGCTTATTTGTCTATCACAATTCATCTAATATGACATAATAAACAATATTAATAACATAGAAACATGACATATACTATTCTAGAATGAAAAAAATATGTCATTAAGTATGTAATGAGTGTTGTTGCATTGTTGTTGTTGTTGGGTGTATAAGGGCCACTGAGAGCATAAGCCGTACATAGTGGTGGTGGAGGGAAGCGGCAGCAGAGGTAGAGACAGCGGTGTTGTCTATCGTCCTATATAACTCCAACAACATTGGAGGAGTTAGGTTCGTGCTGTCCTTTTTCTATCGATTAATAGCTTAACTTACTTTCTACACTGTTAATGCTACACTTTATTGCTGGCTGGTGCTAGAGCCTTTATCAACTAGTGCTGCTTTAGTATCATACATATCGTAGAATCACTGAAGAAGGCACATTCTCCCCTCTCTCTTCCTCCTCCACTTTGGTACTCTGCTATGAGTTCTTTCTTGAATTCTATAGTCTTTCTCACCTTCTTCACCAAAGGGCTGGCACTAGTACAATATTTTATGATGTTTTCATGTGTTTTATGATTGTTCATGGTTCAGTAGGTTAAGGAAGCATTATTGTATTTCCCTACAATATATTGGGGCACCAAACATTTGCGATTTTTCAACACTCGCGAGGCTCTTGATCCCCTAACCCTCATGAATGTTGTGGGAGACCTGTAATATGCTCCTTACTTAGCGACAAATTTGTTTAACAACATGGTCTTGTGAACGGAACTCCGTTGTTAAGTGAGGAGTGGCTGTATATT